CCCCAACCCCGCCCCTGCCTTTCAATACTCAAATATTCCATTTTGTTTGCATTTGTGTTTGGGCATGAGGAAATGGCTTTTATTTTGTGGCTAGTGTAGAATTGCAGGATGTGATGCTTAAAATACAGTAATTCTAGTAAAAAACTGTGATGCTTAAAATACAGTACTTCTAGTAAAAAACTGTGATGCTTAAAATACAGTACTTCTAGTAAAAAACCTCTTGTTTCCCAAATTCCTACAATTTACACTCATCTCTCTGAAATTAAGAGGAATTAGCACCACGGTTTTTGATGAAATGCACTTTGATTATATTAGTAGAGGCTACTTATAAGTGCTTAGGCCTCATTCAGATAAGTCGATCTTCAAGAGCGGGTTCACGGGCCTGAGTCCTTACAACAGGATCATGGTTGTTTGTTTTAATTATTTACTAGGATGTTTTTATTTAAAAAGCAATAATGTACATGGTTTAATTTTTTTAAGCAAATAATGTCAGAAGGTATCAAGTGAAAAGTAACTCTCTCCTTTCTCAGACTTTCAGTGTTTTTCCCTCCAGAGGCTAACGTGTTTTTTGTATATATACAGAAATTTTGTACTCTTAACTAGCAAATACTTGAATAAATACAGTATGTTCAATATAAATGGGATAATATTACACATATATATGTCTTGCTCTAAAATCTTGGTTACTAGAGTGTATTTACTGTTAATACACACCATTGTGGTTCAATTTATACACCATAAAATTCACCAATTGTAAGTGTATAAGGAGTAAATTTTGCTAAAATAATATAGTTGTGTAATAGTCACCATAATCCTTAGGTCATCCATCACCCCAATTTCACCGAGTCCCATATTATCGCTAATATGCTTTCTGAACAGTTTTGTCTTTCTACATTTTTTATATAAATGGAATCATACAGTATGTAGTCTTTATTTTTATTGTTGACAGTATTACAGAAGTCCCCCATTTTCTCCCTCCTTATCCCCCTCCCCAGGCCTTCCCCAACCTATTTTCTGTGTCCATGGCCTGTGCATATATGCATATATGTCATTTGGTTAATCTCTTCCCATTCCCTCCACGCACCTCCCCTCTGAAATCTGTCATTCTGTTCTATGCTTCTATGCCTCTGGACCTATTTTTTTCATCAGTTTATTTTGTTCATTGGATTCCACATATAAGTTAGATCATGTGATATTTGTCTTTCTTTAACTGGCTTATTTCACATAGCATAATACTCTCCAGGTCCATCCATGCTGTCACAAAGGGTAAGAGATCCGTCATTTTTATAGCTGCATAGTAATCCATGGTGTAAATGGACCACAACTTCTCAATCCACTCATCTGATGATAAGCACTTGTGTTGTTTCCAGATCTTAGCTATTGTAAATTATGCTGCTATGAACATAGGGGTGCATGTATTCTTTCTGATTGGTGTTTCGGGTTTCTTAGGGTATGCTTCCAGAAGTGGGATTGCTGTATGTAGTCTTTTACTTAGCATAGTGCTGTTAAGATTACCCATGTTGATGCATTTAGGATTAGTTTATTTCTTTTTTTTATTGCTGGAGTAGTATTCCATTGTATGGATATGCCAATTATTTTAATCCATTCACCAATAGATGGTTGTTTTCAGTTTGGGGCATTTATGAATAATGTTGCTATGAACATTTGGATAGAAATGTTTGTGTGCACATATATTTTCATTTTTTCTGGGTAGATACCTAGAAATGGTACTGCTGGGTTATATGACAAGTATGTATTTAAATTGTTATGATATTGCCAGAATGTTTTCCAGAATGACCATATCTTTTTACATATCCACTAGCAATGTATGAGGTTTCCAATTTCTGCCCATTGTTTCCCACACTTGGTACCCACAGTCTTTCTGATTATAGTCATTCTAATGGGCACATAGTGATGCTCTTTATGGTTTTAATTTATATTTCTCTAACCTTTTCGTGTGTTTATTAGCATTCATATATCTTCTTTGGTGACATGCCTATTCAACATTTCACCCATTTGTGTATTTATTAAGAATAGATAATGCCCTAAACAAAGGAATTCGCTCTCTTGTTGCTCTTGTACAACCAAACCTCAAACCCAACCCAACCCTCCAGAGTTAGATAATTTCAAAAGTGTGTTATATTATACCTTCAAGGAAGGATAACTGCAATGCTATGTTAAAGCAGAGAGAGAAGAAAAAATATTGATTGCTTTTATAACATCTACTGTAACTTCAATAGTAAAGCCTGATAGTAAAAAATAAAACAGAACCTGAAAAAGAAAAACTTTAGACCAATGTCAAATATTAATGTTGATATAAAATTACATATGAAATTAGAATAAGAACTTTATAAGCATAATATGGTTTATGGAATGAAAGGGTAGTTCAATTATAAATCTCTTAATGCTATTCATCAAAGTGATAGTCAAAGTATAAAATAATAATCATGTCCATAGATACCTTTTTTCTAGTTTTTGATAAAATTCATTATACATTTTTGACAAAGATTCATAATTAACTAGGAATTGTGGGATATTTACTTAACCTGATAAATATTCATGTCAAATAAAAAGCTAGCATTATACTTAACTGTGTAAAATGAGATGGTATAAGCCAGGATTAAGACAGAAATTTCCATATTCTCCAATATTAATCCATAGTGTTCAAGAAATAACAGTTAAATGTATTATATAAAACAAATCAGAGGAATGCAAGTAGGAAGGGAGAAGGCAAAGTGATTGGTATTTGGGGTTTGGTTGGTGGGGGAGAGATTTTTATAACTTTTCTCAATTTTTTTCATAGTAATTAATCTTCTTAGAGTTTCTGTCTTGCCTCAGTTTAATTTTATAATTTATATTACCTTACATAATTTTCTATTTTAGTCATGATTTTAAATGTATTTAAATATAATTAAATCAAGTGTTTTCTATTTTTTTCTTTTATTTTCCACTTTAACTTAGAGTATTTATATTATTCTCATTTCTTATTGCTACTATTTCTTGATTAGGTTGACTATTTTTCTATTGTAATGGCTCAAGAAATATACAAATTTATATATAAACTAGTGGCCCAGTGCACAAAATTTGTGCACAGGGGGGTGTCCCTAAGCCCAGCCTGCACCCTCTCCAGTCTGGGACCCCTCAGGGGATGTCTGACTGCTGGTTTAGGCCCGA